GGGCCAGGTCAATTCCATTCCTGATCCGGCCGGTTACTGGGTCCACCACAAGAGGTTTCAGTTGCATTCGCCACAATATTTTACGCCAACCGTTCGGTTAATTTAGAGACCCAAACTGTATGTTGCCAAGTTGGCCCAATTTCCTTATATGCTCTTTTATGCAAAGTAAGGTGCAATCCTTTGTAGTTCACCACCTAAGTCTAGGTCCTACATTTGCCGGATAGGGACAGCATGTCTGCCGGGGGGGGGCACGCCTACCTACATGTACAATGTACCTGTCTCCTGCTCTTTAGTCAAGCCCTGTCTCACCTGCATCATCCTTGAAGGATCCGCTTAGAGTCACGTAAGAGCATCTTTGCATCGGACAAGTGACCAGCTACATGTCTATTTGAACAGTCCGAATTTGGGCTTCTGGTAATTATTAAACAGCCCATGAGCATTCCACTTTTTAGTAAACCCAATTTTTCTTTTAAATTTTGGATCAGCATCAGGGGCTTTATGTATACAACTCCAGTAATATTTTTCTTGTTATGGGGAGTGATGATTTCAATAAAAAAACTATTCAAAAGAATTGTTACATCACTTAGGTTAGGTCTAGAAATATGTTGTAAATTATTACATGTAGATATGTATAAAGCAACCCCTCTGCCAACTCTAGGATCTCTATTCCTGGTCAAAAGAGTGTATCAAGGTATATCAAGACTATTTATGTGGAATTTTGCATTCAACCAAGTCTCACACAGCCCAATTACAGAAAAGTTATGATTAAGCATACATGAATATGTGATACTTACTTCAGGTGGTCGATATTTTTCTGGTGAGCTTCATATGTTTAAATTCAAGAATGAAAAATTATCTTTAGGATCTTTTCTTGAAAAAGTCCATAAACTTTTTACGAGAATAATAACTAGAATAACTGATGGCATGATGGGGATTATCAGGATCATCAATTGAAGGTAATTCTAGAGAACTTAAATTTAGATCAATCAAGTTGTCTAGATCAGTAAACCGTTGTATGTTCGGGTTCAAATCGAAGATTGTATTATCAAATTCTTCAGAATCTAAACAGTTAAATGGAAAGATACTTTTAAGGAAAACTGGGCAATACCAGGCTTCATCACTGTGCATTAAGTTTTAGTAGTCAATGAGATCAAAACCAGTGCATTTAAGATGAGTCCAGAATTTACAATGGTCACACAAAATTCCATTTTGGTTAGTTTTCACAGTGTTACTACAGACACTACACAGAAACCTAACAAGTATAGATTAAAAAAGAAAAACCAAAAACAAACGAACAAAACAAGAGACAAAGAAAATTAAGGAGTTGGGAACCCTATATGGATTTTACACAAATCAGTGGGTAATAATTTGTGATTGATGTGATGATGTGATTACATATAATACTGTGATTCAAACTAGCTCCGATGGGATATGTATTTTGAGATTACACCAAAATCCTTACAAGTTCATGAAGGAAATTTAATGGAGTCAAGTTGTTCAGACCACAGGGCCATTCCTGGCAGTGTTAAAGCAATCCCGTCAGACAGAATAGAGAGGGGCAGTGTAGACCAATCAGGAGGTCATTTCTGACGGAACTACATGTATCCTTATTGGAAGCTGTGAAAAGGGGGTGTACACTCGGGTTCAAGGTCAATCCTGTCGAGGCTGATCTGTCCGGAAGGCGGAGAAGTGGAGAATATTCCAAGCTTGAGGTCATTCTTGATGCAAGTGTCCCAGATGGAGGGTTTGCGATGGAAGAATGTACAGTTGGCCGCTGATATATAACTCCCCGTTACGAAACAGGTTTTTGCCTGCCTGATAGGCTTTGAGCATGATGTCTTTTAGGCTTCTCTTCTTTGCCACATCAGCAGCTGGAAGGTTTTCCATAATGTAGATACTGCAGTTGGCGAGTGAGGATTGCCCTTTAGTAGAACTGCTTGGCTTTTAGGTCTGTAGAGAAATTCAGCAAGAATGTACTGGGGTTTACCATCAGACAAGTTGAAGATCGTCCAGATCGATGGGCATTTTCAATTTCGGGTTCAAGGCCACATTTGTTCGAAAAAATTTGCTTGATCTTCTCGTATGGGTAGACAGGTGATTCATGTGGCAGTTCTGGAATGTTGTCAAATCTTAGATTAAAACTTCTACAGTAACGCTCCATTCGTAGCGGGTTATCTTCCAGTTGGTCGATCTTTGCCTGTGCTTCATCAAGGTTTGTCGCCATATTTGTTGCCAGCTCGGTGTTCTTGACCTTCAATTCTTCGACGGATTGAGCATTGAAAGTAATTGATTCTTCCACCTTTGTATGTTGAGACTCAATGGCATCCATCCTCTGGAGCAAAGACTGTTGATTTGAAATCACCAGGTCCCGTTTACCTTGAATTCGCCTTTCAAGAAGATTAGTCTTTCAGAGGGGGAAACCAGGCCATCTGGTGTACCTCCGTGGTGCACTTGTCATAGTTACATTAACTGCGTGCTTAACAAATTGATGCTATAGCCCAACCACTGATATGTGTTAATACTTAGGACTAGAGCGTTATCTGTCTGCTTGTCACTGTAAGATGTATTTAGACAATTCTTGACACTTGACTTGGCAAAATCCTCCAATTTCAATATGATTTTACACACACTCTACGTGTAGTAGTGTGAGGACTAAAATTTAAATTTTGAATTAGTTTGAGTATTTGAATAACCTTGTATTTGCTTTTTGATTCAACTTTTCTGATTTTAACATAGTGGGTTTGTTGCAGCTCTACATCCTAGTGAGATAGGGTTAATCAGGCAAACACACGCTACTTGCTGTGGCCCAAACATATCCCATTTTCATGTTATTGTAAAATGTAATTGCGTCAATTATTTTGAAGGCAGACACTCTAGTTTCAATATCTACTGCTTATTGTCTCCATGAAGCCGTTGCAAACACAAATTACCCAAAATCATTGACATTTCTGCACAACTTTTTGGTACCCTGAAGCATTGAAGACAAAACAGCCCAGCCACTTTTGCTTAGAATTCAGGTTGGAGTTACCAGTTACAAGTCAAAATGAAGAACACTAAAGGAATCTTTTCATCAAGAACAGGTATGTTTGCTAAAAATTTTTACCTCTGTGTTGACAACCTCGCACCTGACGTGGCTCGCAAGACCCGTATCCTGGATGTTGTCTACAATGCCAGCAACATTGAGCTGGTGCGTACCAAGACTCTGGTGAAGAGTGCCATTGTGCTGGTTGACTCCACCCCATTCAGGCAGTGGTATGAGGCACACTACGCCCTCCCCTTGGCCCATAAAGGGAGCTAATTAAAAGCTGGTGAGTGCTTCTCCCATTCTGACATTTTTGTGGCTCTGGACTAAGAACCCACTGGCCTCCCTGAATCTTTCCTTGAATCAACTGATCATGATGTTTATTCATATAGGTTACAAAAAATGGAAACATTGTAAAAAATCCTGAGAACCTTGGTTTTAAGTTTTCCTTATTTGTATAAGAGCCAGATTCATGCATGTTGTGGATTTTAAAGTTGTGCTATCTGATTCATATAACAGAGGCCTGAAGATCTTGTGTCTTTTAGAAGCTTTGATGTACATATACTCAGCTGCGTCAAATCAAATCATTGATTTTTTTTCATCACGGAGGCGGAGGAAGAGGTGCTGATGAACAGGAAGTGGTCCAAGAAAGCAGCCGAGAAGTTCGAAGAGCGCAAGAAGACAGCCAAACTGAGCCAGATGCTTGAGGATCAGTTCAGCACAGGGAGTCTGCTGGTAAAGGAAAACTCTTCTCCAATGCTTCCCATCCTTCCACCTTCCCCTGTCCCTTTTCCCACCTGTCTCCCTTTCTGAAATGAACTCAATAAATTTTGCCAGTTAAATGCGTTTTGGTCTCCAGAAATGAAACATTTGGCGTGCAATATTTTATGCACTTGGATATTTTCAAGCTCATGCATAATAGCTACAGATATGTAAAGTTGAAATGAAAACCCATTTAACTGGAACAGAATGTTGTAGTGGATTTCTCAGCACTATGCTGGACAAAGACTAACTGTGGCACAGTTAAGTGTTCTCTTCCCCCTACATTTTATGCATGGGGTTTTATATTCAGAGAATAAAACAGTTTTTGAGTTCCGTGGCAAACTCATGCCTTCTAATAGCCAGTTAGGGTTAGAATGAAAACAATGGAAGCACAACAGTGTTTTGGAAACTCTTTGGGGTAAGACTTTTTTGGCAGAATGACGTAAAGATTAGTCTTTCGTAGTGATTGCCTGCCGTTCTGGCATTCAAGGTGGTCCCAGTGAAGACGTCATATTTACACTGACTGCCATAAAAACCCCAATCTAACAGTGACTTACAAGTCATCTAGTAGTTGAGGTGTTTTGTAAATGCATACTCCAACATTTCTTGCCCTCAAATGAGATGGAATGACGTCTTTTTAATGAAAAAGGGTCAAAACGCAGAAGATTTTTCTTGGTTTTTCTGAATATCTTTAGCTTGCATTACGTCCAGACCTGGACAGTGTGGGCGAGCTGACAGTTACATCCTGGAGGGCAAGGAACTTGATTTCTACCTCCGAAAGATCAAGTCCAAGAAGGGAAAGTAAGCAAGTAAACAACTGCACCATTACAATAAAACAGAAAAGACAGCAACATGACTTCGGATATGTACAAAACAAGGCCACCTGACAGAGTTTAATTCTAGATTCCAGTTTCATAACAGTTGCTTTTCGTAACGGTTTGCATTGTTTTGTGAAGAAATAAAACACCTCTATATAGATCAGTCTTTTGTGTGGTAAAATCAATAATTTTCGTGTTTAAGCCCTGTAGGGGTTGTCCCCTCCCCCAAATTGAATTGAATTCCAACCTAAGTCGACTTTAAACAGCTCCCAAAGAAACAGTGCATGAGGCTTGTAAACCAGGCTTCGTTGAGTCTGCTGCAGAGCAAAAGAAAAATTTGTAATGCAACATTTACATTAAGGTAATTACATTACATGTACTTGTATAGTGTCAACTTCTATTACCACATGGTGCATGATATGTGGGCTCCTACCACCATGTGGTCTCGAAAAAATTGACCCCATATCAGGCATGGTATCTCTATTTCAACTAAACTAAAAAAGAATAAAAGAAAAAAGAACTAACAAGAAAAGAAAAATAAGAAAATCGATATCTTTGAGTATTTGCTCTTTATAAACAATGTGTTTTTGTTTAACAATGCCTTTTTATAATGATTGAAAATCAACTTTATAGGTGTGTGAAAGCAGTAGTGTAACTAGCGTAAAATGTCTGGGTGCTGTTACAAACTTATCTCTAAAAAGTGAGATTCAACATAAACAGATGAGGAAAAGAACACTCCAAGAATTTAGGAGCAGAATCAAGGCTTTTGAAAGGGAAAACAATGTTTAATCCTCTGCACTCAAATCAATTGACACTTCTTTGACTAATAAATCACGGGTAAATGAATTTACACATTATAAAGTAAAAACCCGGCCGGGTAACGGAAGTCGCGACAGAGTTCTTGCCTTGATCTTTCTGGTGAACTTAAGGCGACTCCGACATCCGGACCTGAACTGTGTGGGACGGTGGACAAGTACTTGGCCGAGCCAGCAGGTGGGATACTGGCTAGGTGTCCAGTTAAGCGGTGCGCTAGGGAGGTGTGACATAGCCAGAGGAGCTACGGCCAGCAACCAAACGGCAGATAAGCCTTGTCAATGGGCACTCATGGGGTCTGAAGCAGTGTTGGAGGTCTCGAGACCTGGTCTCGGTCTCGAGACCGTCTCGAGACCCTTTTTTGAGGTCTCGGCCTACAAGAGTGTCGGTCTCGGGAGGGTTGGTCTCAGTCTCGGGAGGGCTGGTCTCGGTCTTGGTCTCGGATGCCGAGGTCTCGGGTCTCCCACCCGAGACCATGACAGAAATGTGAGGAAACTTGGATTGGTAAAATCCTGATTTTTATATTGGCTACATGTACATGTACTTTTAATAGGGAACTGCTCACGATGTTGTATGACCCTACTAACCTGTCCATTGATCATTACAGAGTATAACTCATAAACTGAACTCATGCACACCTTTTGGCATAGTCCGAGCAACTCAGACCCCACGTTTTGCCTTTTTAAACATTTGGACATGGCCCGCCCACGTTAATTTTTCTATACATATGGAACACAAAAACTATGTACATGTTTAATATACAATTATGCCGTATACTCTATACAAAATTCTATAGCATCGGCAGTCCACGCCTTCATGGTCAAAATAACTGTGTGCTGTTTTTTCCCAGAGTTCAAATAAAACTCTTTCATGGAAAATGGAATATGTTGCGTGCTTTACATGTAAAATCTGCACTTAATTTTGCTGTTTAATGCCAATTGTTCACCACGTTAACCATTAATGAACTACATGTAGGCCTATTTATTGTATATGTTGTGCAAGGTCTCGGTCATCTTGGTCTCGGTCTCGAACTGCAAAAGTCTCGGTCTCGAAGTTCTGGTCTCGGTCTTGAAAGAGCTGGTCTCGGTCTTGAATGCCTTGGTCTCGGACATAAAGGTCTCGACTACAACACTGGTCTGAAGGTGTGCTTGAAACCTCCGCATAACAGAAGAGCCGAGTGCCACATCCATGCCCTGGGTCAGAATCTGACGAAGACTGGAGTTCCTGAGCTTTTATGTCCGACCAGACATTCCTGTGGCCAGTCCACCGTTGACGAATGTGAAGTGATTCTTGGCGCGATTAACTGGTCAAGTCAAGCGACTGGCCTTAACTTAATAATTTACTTAATCTTTACGGACTATCACCATTACAAACTCTTAACAGTGCACACATTTGTGACCCACAATCCCAAAACCAGGCTGAATTTGGTATTTGCTATGTTGGACAATTCCTGTCCTTCAGTTTTTTTTACACTTTCAAGTAATCCATGTTAAACCAAATTTCTGTCTGCACTAAGCTTCTTACGGGTAGTGATAGCTGTAAAACTCCCATGAAAATCTGACCAGTGGAAGTTCCACTATTTTAGGTTTATGAAGTTACCCACTTCAGCCTGGTTTTAGGAGAGTGGGTCACATTTATTCAAATTTATTCATTGAAGTTGCTAGAAAGAACTTCTCGTGTCAACTGCTTGGCAAGTTGTACGGTGATTTCTGTTAAGCGACCTTGTGACACAAGGTGTGGTGCTGGTACTGAGGAGTGGCTTCAAGAACAAAGGGGGATGGTTCTCAACTGTTTCTACAGTTTGCTGTAAGATGGCATAGAGATCAAGTCTGATGTGATGTCTGCTACCGAAGAACAACCTGTGAATAGGGAAAAAATTGTATCTTGATCTGGTATCCACTCTATTCAATTACTGAAACTGTTGTAACTGATGTATATGAACAGCAAAACCTTGGATACCTCAAATCCAATGGGACTGACTGATTTTTTTCCCCCAGCTTCAATGAAAATCCGACTTACTGAAATCTGAGGTTTGCTGCATATCGTTGCTTAGCGTGACTTTGAACTACACAGTTGTAATAATACAGAGTGCCTATACATGCCTGCGGAGTTTTAAAAAATTAGGAGTGGCATGTTGGGGGGATTGGGGAGCGGAAACCACCCCACCCGTCTATGAGAGAGGCCAAAATAAGTCCGCTCTTTTAGGCTTTACATAATGTAAATATGTACATGTATTAAGCAATTTGAACTTTGTGGCTTCAAGACTGTGGATTGACTTAAATGGTCACAAGAAACATGGCTAGGACAAAACACCATCTTTTTGGAAGAGCACTAAAACTATTAGAAAACTTTTTTGAATTACTATTGACAAACTACATGTACGTTCTTGAGCAGTTACTGGAAATTCAAGACTAACAAAAGTTACCACTTAAAGCCATGGCGAGGCTGAATTCCTCTTTCAGAATCCTCAGAACTTTTTCAACTCCTTTCTCACCCTATGTAAAACATCATCGAGACAAAAT